CAGGAGATGACCAGAGACTGCGGACACGGTGCAGGGGATGAACCAGAGACTGCGGACACGGTGCAGGGGATGACCAGAGACTGCGGACACGGTGCAGGGGATGACCAGAGACTGCGGACACGGTGTAGGGGATGACCAGAGACTGCAGACCTTTGGGGAGGGAGGGGGAGCGGGTACCTGAATTTGACAGGTACCCGCTCCCACTTCCGCGGAGTTGTCCTTCCCTCTTCTTCCCGGGCTGGCTTCTGTGACAGCCGGGTGCCCACTGCGCATGTGCGAGAAGCACTGCGCTTTGTGAATGGCCCGGCGCCTTCTAGACCTATCATGTGTCCCAGAAGACACCGGATCATTCACAAAGCGCAGCGCATGCGCAGTGGGCACCCGGCTGTCACAGAAGCCAGCGCGGGAAGACTGTGCAGCGCTGGAGCGAGGAACAGGTAAGGCCCTGCAAGAGAGAACAGCTAAGCGGCCGGCCCGGTATTCTGACATGCTGGCGGCAGAAATACCGGACCGGCCGCTTTACATTCGCTCCATAAGACGCACTGACATTTTCCCCCCTTTTTTGGGGGGAAAAGTGCGTCTTATGGAGCGAAAAATATGGTATGTAGAATAAGGCTGTATATGTTTAATTTTTTTGGTAAATAAATTCCATGAATCCATTCACAATGTCATGCTCTTCCAGAGGTTTTTGTAAGATTATTGGGCAGTTTCTCTGCCTACAAGATACTATCACAGATGCTTGGTTTACTTTTGCAGTTTTCAAAACTGAATTTGACTCAGCGGAGATCACATGCCTCTTCTTCACAGCAAAAATGTTATAACATGAACAGAGTTAATTAAAAGACCTTCAATCCTAACTTCTACAAACCTATGAATACAGAATCAACCCCTTCACTGCTAAGTTTCAAGAAGTTCAGTGAATAGAATAGAAACAATATTTTTCTGATTGTTTGGAGTGGAATAGATCTGCACAAGAAGAAAGTGAACTAAGTGTGAGGAGGAAGGGGCTGACAGTCTAAGTTTCTTTATATATATTTTGTTTAGCCAAATTAGTTACCAAACATGGATGTTTGTTTAAGCAAATCACATATGCTGGAATGTTATTGTTTCAGTTGAATAAATCTATTTAAATTGTTATTATTAAGGTAATGATTATTTTTCTCCTTCCTAAGTACAACAGAAAAGTTGTCCAAATATGAATGATTAACCTATTAAACTGGGGATAAAAAAACTAATATGAAAAGTTATTCTAAAAATCTTCAACTACTTGCATATTAAAGTTATACCAGCAAGAATGAGTCTTTATGTAGAAAACTAGGATTTAAATCAAGCCTTACTGACTAGTGATTTAAATTGTGATTTAAATCGTCATTTAAATCAGTTTGATTTAAATCAAATCCACCCTGGTACTAAGTAGAAAATGTTTTGTGTTTTTCAGTTTTTTGATAATGGCATCCCTCATGATTAGATCAGATCCCCAGATCATGCTTTATAGAGCACAGCTTTGTCGGGGTTATTCTTAGTCTGTGTGATGTGCTAGTGACTGCGGTTTCTATGAGGAAGTACTATGATTGTGCAATTAGTTGCTGTCCTTTTTATGACCATTTTAGTTCAGCACTGTAGGTACAGCTTTTTTTTTTTTTACAAGGTCAAGGCTGTTTTTGTGAGTCATCATGGTTACCAAATGCATCTTTGGCAAAACTATTGCTTTGTTTTTACATTGTGCCAGTGGAGTTCTTCACACATTAAGCCCGGGTTCACATTGATACAGTGTGCGGCACATCGCATGTGATTCGCACAGGAACCACACCACATTCCTGTGCAAATCACATGCGATTTCTGTGCAGAGCAATTTCAGCCATACATTTTGTATGGCTCAGATCGCTCCGCAACAGAATAGTGCAGGATCCTTTTTTTTTTTGTTCGCACCAGAAGCAGATCGCATGGGTATTCACATCCATGCGATCCGATTCTGCACATTGCACCGCGTTTTGCAAACCGATTTTGGGGTGTCGTTAACATACACACCTGCAGCAGTTCCCATGAAAGGGGTGTGATCATGATGTGGTGCGTAAACCGCACAGAAGCCGGTGTGAATTCCACACCGCATCAGTGTGTACCCGGGCTTACAGAGGACTGTGTGTATGGTTTTTATATCAATGTGCTGCACCATAAAGTGATTGTAAACTTTAACTTTTTATTTAAAATTTTAAAAAAAAGTTACCCTTACCTGCTCTGTGCAAGGGTATTGTACAGAGCGGCCCCTTGCTGCCTCATCTGGGGTCCCCTGCTGGTGCTCTCTGCTCCTGCGCTTCTGCATATGCCCGCTTTCTATGGTGGCACACGTGGGTATGCTTCCGAGCCGGGCTATGAGTGACCATAGACACACATAATGTGGCTCGGCCCCGCAGGATATCCTTCCTTCCTTCTCACAGGATATGGTTGACAGCAGCAGGAGCCAATGGCTTCCTTCTCTCAGGAAAGCCTGTGATAGCATGGAGAAAGGAAAAAAGACCTGCAGTCGAGCACAACGCTGGATCGATACAGGACTCGGGTAAGTGTTAGGGAGGGGAGGTTTTGGAACAGGTAATGGAGGGTTTTTTTTACCTGAATGCTGAGAATGCATTAAGGTATAAAAAAAAATAAAAACCTTTAGATATTAGAACCAGTTTAAAGTGTTTGTAAAGTCTCATTTACTCTATTTAATTTAAAGCCTCCTTCACTTGACGTTTAGCCGCATACACCGGATTCCAGTGGCAAGAATTAGTAGATTCCTGTGTCTGGAATGACCAGTGCATGCAAATAGTGGTGGCCACGCAGCCTACATAAACTAAAGACAAGCTGACAGCGGCCACCACTGTCCACATGTAGACGCATACCAAGTGGCTACCTGAGGATGTGCGAGCCTGGATGCAGCTGACTGCGTCCAGGATCAAACAATCATCCGTAACTCAAAGGTGTGCGGTTATACATGAACAGCTCCGGCCGTTGTCAGCCTGACATTACTTTTATATAGACTGAGCTTCCCCTGCTCTTCGCATGTACCAGTCATTCCATTCACAAGAATTCAATGATTTTTGCCAATAGAATCTGGTGCATGCTGCTAAGTGTCCATGTGAAGGAGGCCTAAGTATACCATTGAAAGCCTTTTTTCTGTTTGATACATGTACAAAATAATATCTCAAGCAGTCTTATTGTCCCTGCACAAGTTACCTTTAGGGAATACAAACTATTCCCCTTCATGTTGTAGAGATGAGGAGATATGTTCTGTAGTCCACACATTTCATGTCATAGGATGACAAACACTGCTCTCCATATAGACACAGTGCAATGAGTGAGCATTGTCACCATAGGACAGGCAGTCTGTTACTGGCAAAATCACCTTCTGAAAATAAAGCCTGAAGAAGGAAACTAATACAGCTGCCATGTCACTGTCAGGAATGGACTCACCATTAGTGGTGGGGACTCATCTGCCGTGTGGGCTGCCGTACCAGGGCTGGCCAGCGGGTGCTCTCAGCAACCAGAAGCTCACTCCTGCAATCAGCCATCACCTGAGGCTGATTGCAGGAGGTGTATTTAAGGAATGGCCAGACCTGCAGTCAGTGCCTTGGTGTATGTTTCCCATGAGCCCCTGTACCTGCATCCTGCCTGCTTCTTCCTGCCTGATCCTGACTCTGAACAAACTCCGCCTGTCCCTTGACCTCGGCTATTCCTGACCACTCCTCCGCTCGCTCCTGGTACCCTGTTTGCCCGTTTGCTACTGACCCGGCCTGCCCGACTACGTTTGATTTTGTATATATATGGTTATCTGTTGGAGGTTGGGTTGTTTGCACTGTGTTATGTTTTACCTTGCACTGCGTTTGTGTTGTTTAGTCTTAATAAATTGTCTTAGTTACACTATACCTGAAGCCTGCGTTTCCCTGTGTCAGTCCACACACCTCTGGTCATACCCAGAGCCCTGACATCTACGCACTGGTAAGCTGCATATTACACTTTTTTTTCTGGGTTTAGATATGCAGAATTCCATGCAAAGATTTATTTATTTCAGGTACTTATATAGCGCCGTCAATTTACGCAGCACTTTACATATATATTGTACTTTCGCATCAATCCCTAACCCTCAAGGGGCGTACAATCTAAGGTCCCTAACTCACATTCATACATACATATACTAGGGCAATTTAGACAGGATCCAATTCACCTTCCAGCATGTCTTTGTAGTGTGGGAGGAAACCGGAGTACCCAGAGGAAACCCACGCAGGCACAGGGAGAACATGCAAACTCCAGGCAGGTGGTGCCGTGGTTGGGATTCGAACCAACGATCATAGTACTGCCAGGCGGAAGTGCTAACCATTTAGCCACTGTGCTAAAGATCTAACTAGTCTTAAAAATGCTGCCTCCCCCCTCCTAACACCTATTCTCATTAACCTGTGTAAGAAAGATCTGAATACTTGACTATTTTCAGGCCTGGTCTGGTCGTGTAATCTCCCCTGTCAGCCAGTGGTGGCTGCAGGGGAGAAGAGGCCTCTCAACAATGGCTAACAATGCCTGGGAGTGGTGACATCACCCATAGGTTTCTTTTGGCCCATCCATTGTTGGCGCTTTCTTCTCTCGCCATTATTGAGCCACCTCTTCTCCCCTGCAGCTGCCGCTGGCCCAAAGGAGTGAAAATGGGCAAGTATTCAGATCTTTTTTTTACACAGGTTAGTCAGGATAGGTGTTAGAGGGGCAGAGAGCATTTTAAGACAACTTAGGTTTGGTATGAAATTCTACTTTAACACTTAGGTTTGGTACAACAGTAACAAGGGCTCCACATTGATGAGATCACTGAATAAAAACAGACTTTATTCCCATAGTTTGTACAAGCCACCAAATTCCCTTCTCGAGGATTTTTTATTTTTTTTTGTTAGTGATTGAAGCTTGGCCTGTTCTATGAGAAATGTTTATTCTATAACCTTTACCTGCTGTGTGTTTTTTTTTTTTTTTTTTTTTTTTCTCCTATAGGTCATTCCGTTGATTACAATGGAACAATTACTCTGGGTGAGCGGTCGCGTGATTGGCGGGGTGGACACCTTCCGCATTCCACTCATCACTTACACTCCACGTGGACATCTCCTGGCCTTCTCTGAGGCTCGCAAACATTCTTCCTCTGATCTAGGGGCAAAATTCATAGCTACTCGCAGGTCACAGGATGGGGGTGAGTACCCTATTCATGTGTGCTCAGGAGCCTCTCCCTCCATTCACATAGGTCATACCAGACACTTGTGGTTTAGTGCTGCCACCTAGCGGCAGTTTTAGGTTCCAGCAGGAAGTGATAGCGAAACAATAACCGATGCAAACAGACAAGGTTGCAATATGTGGAATTAAAGGCAGCCTTTGCAAAGAGATTGGTGGAGATTGCCATTGCAGAACTGCTTCTAAAAATGCTTTTTTGCCTGGCTGTTATGCTGACTTAGTGACTCCAATACTTTGAGTCGTGGCGTTAGAAGCCAAAAATACTGACCAAGACCACACGTTTCTATTTTTTTTTTTCTACTTAAGAATACACAGCGCTTTTTTACACGTCTGTGTGTACAGGCACATTGTAAACAATGATAAACAAAAAGGGCAAGCGAGCACTCAAAGCCTAAAAAAGCTGCTAAACACCAAAAGGTACCACATAAAACTTCCGAATAAAATAAAAGTAGGGTGTAGCGCTAAAATAACGATATAAATGACTTAAAGGTAAATGTTTCCACTTATATCAAATAACAGAAGCACACTGAAATAAAGTGACTTAGTGATATGAAAACGTGTCAGTTTCATAAATAATAATTACATATATGCATCATAAAAATAGCACATAGATGAGCATAAAACCTCAGTGACAAAGTGCTTGTATCCAGATAAAGTGATATACAAAGTGATAGCCAAGTCACTTGATGGTGACCAATATTGTGCAAAGTGCCAGATGTATTAACCAAACAATAGTCCACAATTAAGGTGCATGAAAGATCGTGGTGATCTTCAAAATCCAGTGATCTGATCCGGTATTATGGTCATGCGATTCATATAATAGGATTGCGCACTCACCAGATATGCAATCGGACTGCGCATTTAGAAATACCAATCTTAGAAAACTGGAGGTCCCTTTATGGTCTGGTCTGGTCAGGTGCCACTCACTGTCCGGTATCCACTGCCACACTTGGTACAGCCGCTCTGTTAAACAATGGGCTGCATTTAGAGCAGAAAAAAAAAATGCTGTACTGAGCTTTTTCATACTGTGGTATACAAGAGGCCATAGAAGGTCAGCAATGACAGCTTACATCGTGCTGTTTACACAGGTTTCTGTTAAATGCTATACAGGAATTTTCTACTTTGGTTCTGGTGCAATCAAGTTCTTAAACCTGTTTCAAAATTTAAAGAGCTCTTGTGCATTAGCAGCAGCCCTTGCTGCCTCTCTAAAAGCAGTGGCTAGCTTTTCAGACAGCAGCTGGGAGGCTGTATGTCCTCTCCTCCGTGCCTATTTTAACTCTTAAAATCCCACACCACTCAAATCTTCTTCTAAACATAGTAGTGGAGCAAATTTATGGCTGTTTCGATATGCTCTTATTGATGCTTGGAGGGAGGCTAATCCCATCTCGAGACTATTCACATTTCTCCAGAGCTCATAATCATTCTCGAATTGATCGTGTATTTCTCCTTTCAGGACTCCTGCCCAAATTGATTACTGCCAAAATTGTTTCCACATCTTGGTCTCACCATGACCCTGTAATGCTTACACTTTCTAATCTGACTGCTAGAACAGCTAAACCTCATTGGGGATTGAACGATTCCCTTTGAGTAACGAGTCATGCTGCTTTGATATTACTGCTCATTTAAATTCTTATTTTGATAATAATAAGGCAAAATACACCTCACCCCTAATCAACTGGGCTGCACCTAAGACCCCTATTAGAGGCTTTCGTATTCAATTATCTTCCAGATTCAAAGCCTGTGATGAGTTGATCTCTGCCAAATCCAAAGAATACTATATTCTGGTCACTCAGCATAAACGTTCCCCTAACCTTGATCTGTTAAAACTTGAACAAGTTCACACCGAACTTAATATCTGTCTTACCACTAAACCGGACAAACCGCTATGTTGGGGATAACCATAAATTCTTCACTTGGTGTGACAGACCTGGCCATTGCTAGCACATAAACTCACCCCTAGACATTCTTACCTTGCCCTTCCAAAACTGACTTCATGGGGAAATATTTTTCAGAACCCACAAAATATTCTTCAAGAATTCCATTCATTTTATGTCTCTTTTATATCAACCTCAAGGTGACACAGTTTTTTTTTTATGTTTTTTTTTCTGTAATAGAACACAAATGTGCAGCCTGGCTCTACTCGGCATCTAGGCCCTGACTCCGGGAGGCCACACATTTGCTTTCGGCTGACGCCAAGAGGTTAATGTCCTTTTGGAACGTTACATCCATAAAGACCAATCAGGTTCATACTGGGCCGCCAAGCTGTAGACCAAATTCCGTGGGTCTATAGGGTTAATATCAGCTGTAGGCAACTAATTGAGATTCTTCCTCCCCTAGAGAACTTCTACTTCTTTTATTCCGTGGGTCTATAGGGTTAATCTGCATAAAGCCTTTGATAGCTTGATTTGGGAATATCTATTCAACACATTGGAGGCACTTTTTTCTTTGGCCTCTCATTTTTTTTTTCCCTGCTGAAAACTTTATATGACACCCCTTCTGCTCAGGTCTCTATAAGAGGCTAAAAATCACCTTCTTTTCCTATCTGACGTGGAACGAGACAAGGCTGCCCATTTTCTCCTTTACTTTTCCCATTGGCGGTTGAACCCCTTGCTATTGCTATTCGTTCCCATCCACATATTTATGGTATCTGTTGTGGACAGCTAGAACATAAATGCGCTTTATTAGCTGATGATGTTCTTATGTATGTCTCCAACCCCCAGGTAACCTGCTAACTCTAAAATATAATTAGATAAATCTGCGCTAAATGTCTTTGTGGAGAAAAATATAGCAGCTAACATAAAATTGACGGCAACAATGGTAAAGTGGAATAAAGAGCAAAATGTAGTACTTGTTCTCTCACAATTAGCATAAATATTAGAACATTAAATAAAAAAAAGTCCTGAAAGGAAAAAGTCCTAAAATGGTGGCTAAATCTTCCATAAATCACATGACCAGAAAAAAGGTGATGAATTCCCCAAAAGAGGGAAAGAAGAGATTCTCCACCAACACCATACATAGCCTCTTACCAGAGGATAAGACCACAGGTCTTTGGCAGAATTATATCCATTAAAATTACTTTTTTTTTTTTTTTTTACCCAAACTACTCTATTATTTCAGTACTTTACATATAGCAGTCCTGAGAGGAGAATTATAACGACTGCAGTCTTAGGTTTTCCATTTCATTTGGGGTAATAAACGCCCTCAGATAAACAAATTGACATTATACACTAACAGCGAGGTGTTCTAGGTTTTCCTTTGAAGCGCTGTCTTGCCACTCTTTCACTATTGGGTCCCTAGTGTGGTTTCCCAATCGTTTATGCCTTGCTGTATTGTGTCCTACATTATCTTATTCTCTGCTGTTTTGGAACAGAGTACAGCATCGTAAACCTTTATCCTTGCTACATTAGCCCCTATCTTCTGCAACCCAGAGTTTACACCAGGGCTTGTGCTGACCTCAATCCAGTGGTGGATCAACAAAGGTTTTTTGCATATTGGGGACTTCCTCAATGGTGATGAGCCATATTTATTACAACACTTATAAGAAAAGCTACAATTGCCCTCCGCTGAAATATTTCAGTACAATCCAAATAATATCTTTTATAAGATCTCAACTTAATTTATTAGACGGACCTCTCACACTTGTGACCTTTGAACTGTCATGTCAGGCTAGGGGCCTCCTGAGAGGGTGCATATCTGTGGTGTACACCTCTCTCACTGATCCGACTATTAAACGTGCTTTTATGACCCAGTGGCAATGGGACTTGAATCTTACTTTTGATCTAACTGAATGGCAAGACACTGCTTATGCTTTATCAAAAATATCTATTAACTGCATGCTGATAGTCCAATTATAAAATTCTTTTAAGATGGTACTTGGTTCCCACGTGAATTGCTAAAATGCATCCTACTGCCTCTCCCACTTGTTTCCGGTGTTGGGACAAATGGGGTTATGCACCGCATCTGGTGGCAGTGTCCCATAGTATCCAGATTTTTGATTCAGATGTTTAATTCCATCTACTCCGTTAGGGGAGTGAATATCCGTAGATCCCTGGAGCCTGCCCTTTTTCAGAAACTTCCTGACGAGGTCCCCAAAAAATCCACAAAGCTGATTATGTATATATTTTTTTGACCGCAAAAATTACTATTGCAAAATAGCAGTCGGTGGTGCCACTTGACTATGCCAAATGACACTTTCCTGCATCCTCCAAAATAATACTAAGAAATTTGATAAAACCTGGGATGCATGGATTCAAAATTGTTTGTCCCTGGTTGACCCTCTTCTTTCTAGTCTTTCCTATCTTTTTTTTCCATTCTTTATACCTGGTACTCTCTTCTCCTTTTTGGTGGCTTAATTACTATTACATTGCCGTTACTTTGGTGTTGCTCTCTAGAATTTACCTGTTGGTTAATCTGCCAACTGCAATTCCCCCCTAATAAAACAAATGTAATACATTAAGATGTTAACTAAGTTTAATGTAGTCCAATTTTGTGTTTACTGATGTCCTGCAGATACCTGTTCACCATACATCTATAATCTACGTTGTAGGCCAGAGGGACCTCTGGCATTGGAGCTTGAAGATTGAGGATCTTCTGATTCGCCTCTCTAGATGTTCTTGATGTATTCTCATTCTTTATTGTAATGGCATCCTGAGAACCTTGTATTACTTTTTTATGAGGCATTTTCTACTTTTATATTTCTGTTATTTTTTTATTAAAACCATTGAAATATAAAGCCATCAGCTTCCCCTGTTCTGTGGAGTGCTCTATTTTTGGGGCGGATATCTAGAGAGTAGGGGCATAGACTGCTTAGCTCTGTATTTAGCTCTCGGGATGACTAGAGGCTAGTAATAGCTGTCCTGAGTCTTACCATTGTGCTGATGATGGCTAATTATATGTTCCTGCACTTTTTTTTTTATGATGCTCTTTAGGGGCCTACAAATGTTTCTTTCTTCTGTACTTTTGGAAAATCTGATAAACCGATTGAAATATAAAAAGCCCGCACCACCACTCTGCAACCATGTGCACGTGGTTGCAGAATGCCCACATATATTTTAAAGGGTGGTGGTTGGTAGTGGTACTGCCTATTAAATGCAACAGGGGTGGTACTTTTTACCACAGATATGAAGCATTGTGGCTGTGGCTTGTATGCAACCCTGTTTGGCTGTTGTACTAGGTTGAGGAGGGCAGTAAAACCATAGCTCCACTACCTATATTTTCTTTTTTCTTTCTAAGTCCTAACAGAGCTTCCACCCATTCCTCCCTAGTTTTAGAATGTCTCTTATCCCCAGAAATCATCTGGATGAAATGGCAAAGGACATTTCCGATATGTGCAAAATGCAGAAAACAATAGCACATAGGTTCCTGAACTGTGTCTTTAGACATTTCAGCTATTGTATCTTGCACACCTTTTTCAAATACTGTATTAATGGTGGATAATAAGCATGGAGCGCTTAACATAACCCCTAAGGGGGTTGCAGAAAAGGAAAACTGCCCTATTCCACGGAATCCCGCAGAGCTTTTGTATTTTGACAGCGATTTTTCCCGCCATGAGAATACAAATGTTCACGGCTGGCGGCTATAGCTGCTAGCAGTGATTGAATGAAAAAAACCCGACAGACTGGTTGTACTGAAATCAATCGATGGGTCAACTTCAGTACAGCCAGCCTGCCCACACATCGATCGAAATTTGTCTTGTTCCTGCTGAACTTAGCAAATTGCCACAGCTGTATTAGAAATCTTTAAAAAATGTATGGGTGGCCATGATGACCTGTGTCCACAGTCAAAAGCACCTACAATGGGCACATCCACATCAAAAGTGGATCACAGAGCAATGGAAGACTGTCGCCTTGTATTAAGAATCATGATTATTTTACATCACGTGGAAGGCCGTGTGCGTTTACTTACCTGAGAAGAGATGGCACCAGGATGCAGTATGGGAAGAAGACAAGCCGACGGAGGCTGAGTGATGCTTTGGGCAATGTTCTGCTGGGAAACATTGGGTCCTGCCATTCATGTGGATGTTACTTGACACAACTTACCTAAACATTGTTGGTGACCAATATTTCCTGATGGCAGTGGCCTCTTTCAGCAGGATAATGCGCCCTGCCACACTGCAAAAATGGTTTAAGAATGGTCTGAGGAACACAACTATGGGTTTGAGGCATTAACTTGGCCTCCAAATTCTCCAGATTGTAACCCAATCAAACATCTGTGAGATGTGGTGGAAACACAAGTCCATCCCATGGAGGCCCCACCTCGCGACTTACTGGACCTAAAGGATTTGCTACTGATGACTTGGTGCCAGATACCACAGCATGCCTTCAGAGGTGTAGCGGAGTCCATGCCTCCTTGTGTCAGGGCTGTTTTGGTTGCAAAAGGAGGACATACTCAATATTAGGTGTGGTCATAAAGTTATGGTTGATTGGTGTAATAATAATCACATCTACTTCTGTCAGAGTTAATTATCAACATACTTTACAATATAGTACTGTTCCCAGTTGGTATAATCTAAAAATCTTTTAATTAAGAGATTACTCTAACCTGATACTCTGTAGGTTCTGATAGCTGGAGGTTCCATGGTACCCACTTTGACTCTACTGCCTCCAGATGGCAGATTTAGGACTTCTAGTCTCAGCTGTTTGTCTGAATCCAGTAGAACTCGTGTCAAACCTTTCCTTTTTAGTTTTAAACTGTATGGAGATTTTGCATTTCTGTTTGGATTTTTTGTTTCTTTCTTGAGATTTTCACTCCCTTCCTATGCCAATGATAATGTTGACAGGCATGAAATCTTTCCAGTGGCGATATCAGACGTGTTTCCTTCACAGTGGCTTGCTCACAGAGATTGAGCAGGTACTTTATACCTGTGAGCAAGCCCACTGGGTGTGAAACACATCTGGAGATTGTTTTTTTTTTTTTTTTTTTTTTTGGGATGAAGACCTATATATGTATGCAATCATCTCATTTTTCGTAGAGTAAGGGAATAAGTAGATTTTATGTCATCCAGGACAGGTGTGATTATGTGATCGCTACACCCAATATTATAGTGTGTGTAGTTGTCCAAACACTCCCATGTTTAAACTCCGATCCTCCTAAAATCTTGGCCTGTAAGGCTTCACTCGATGCAGCCCTCCTCAGACCGCGTAATCTTCCATAAACTTCAAAAACACACACGAGGGCTCAAACACCTAGTTCATTACCACCACAAAATGTATTCAGTGTAAAAACAGTTGTATACTCACCAGCATAAATAACAGTGGGCACATCAAACGACAAATGCTCCAGTCATAGGTGATGTCATCTCATCATATGCCGAATGGTTGGAAGGTCAACGCGTTTTGGTGTACAAGCCCCCCGTCCTCGGAGCTTTGTTTGTTGTTTGATGCGCCCACTATTATTTACATCTGTGAGTAAACAACTGTTTTTATGTTGAATACATTTGTGTACTATGCATTTGCACGAGAGTGTGTGTGTTTTTGTTGTTTTTTAATAGTGTGTGTGTGTAGCCCTATGATTTTGTTTTGTTCCTTATTGTGCTTTCAAATATTATTGCCTCCCAATGCAGCTCATTAAACATCTCTTTTAATATGTTGAATCTGATATTTTAATTAGCGTCGTACCTCCATCCCTACCCCCCCGCATTTAACCGGTCATCCTTCTCTCTATCTCTGCCACCAATCCCAGCTACTAACCTGAACCTTCAAATCCCATTCAAGACATCTGACCCTCCCACCTGTAACTGGAGGGCACACTAGGCGGATAGTACCAGAATCATCTAATTCTACTATACTTTCATTATCTGAACTTTGTCCACAGCTCAGACCATTATGTGCCATGAAAATGCTCAATGCTCACGAGCAAGGCCGTATACAAAACCTGGCTAAAGGGTTTTAACTACTTGGGTTAATCAAGTTTTTTTGTTATATACAATAGCTAAATAAGTTGACCGCTTTCTAACCCTTTCCCATTGTATTTAAAAAGTTTTGGCTGGTTTCTTGCTTTAGTGATTGCAAAATATTTCCTATACTTACAGGTTACACCTGGGGGCCCACAGCTTTCATTATAGATGACGGATCTGCTGTAGACGGGCTGAACTTGGGTGCTGTTGTTGTGGATGATGAGACCAAAAACATCTTCCTGGTGTACACGCTGTGTGCCCACTACCTGCAGTGTGGCGTCTCTAGTGTCATGGTCACCAATAGCTCTGATGATGGTATTACTTGGAGTACACCGAGAAACCTCTCCTACGAAATCGGCACAACAATGTTCTCCCCTGGGCCAGGCTATGGGATACAGGTTAGTAGAAAGTTGAAAAAAAACTTTTTTAAAAACCTCAGCCTTTACCTTTTACAGTCTAAGTTCACCTTTGGAACATATTACACCCATATTTAGGGTGTAAAATGTAACTTGTTCCAGCTCAGGTCCCTGCTCATCCCCCTCACTCCTTCCACTGTGGGAGCAGGTAGGGGATCCTCATCCTGCACCCACTGTCATGTTTTTAAAGGGCATGGCTGTTTACTGCTCCACCCACACCGCCACGTTATTTATTTGTAGGAATCTGTGAATGAACTGCAAGTCCTGTCTGCCATAATGGCAAAGGGCTGGTAATCCATTCATTCTACCTCCAGCTTTGTAACTGAAAGCCTTTATGGAGGTACAGGCAAAAAGCTGCAGGGAGAGTGTGCAGGAGCCTGGCATTGCTCCCATGATCCACTGATTTCAGGTGCAATGCTTTGCAGACTCATGTAGGGAAAATAATAAATGCATATATATCATCGTATTTTCACTAATGTAGCCTTTTAATGTGGGTTTTGGAACCTCTTTGTTATTAGTGGGAAGGGACCTGAAGCAAGGTCTGAAATGCAACCTCAGTTCAAATTTTCTCTGTGTACAGAAAAAGTATGCACCAATGAAAGGCCGCCTGATCGTGTGCGGTCATGGAACCCTGGAGGAGGATGGAGTGTTCTGTCTACTAAGTGATGATCATGGGAAAACCTGGAAGAAAGGTGGAAATTTAGAGGGTCTGCCATTCAAGCAGCGTAAAATAATTGGTGACTTCAGTCCTGATGAATGCCAGGTAGGATCCTTCCGCCAGATGCACCCCTGGTCCCTCACTTTCCATGTTCTCCTGACTCCTCTTCATGCTGTGTTACCCATAATCCAAATTACTGTCTTGTCCATCTGACATCTTAATCAGGTCATGCCTTTTCTCCCTCTCTCACAGCCTTATGAGCTTCCAGATGGCTCGGTGGTAATTAATACCCGGAACCAGTACTTTTATCACTGTCACTGCCGAATCGTGGTGTTCTCCACCGATGGTTGCGACTCTCTACCGCTGGAAAATGTCCGCTTCGACGAAGGTTTGCCCGATCCAGCCGTGGCTGCCGGAGCTTTGTTTAAAGGTGGAGTAACCTACTTTGTGAACCCAGCACACCAGACTCAACGTAAGTGTAAAACACAAGATGATTGCCATTTTCTATAAACCAAGACTGTGATAAAGTTTTTGTTCAGTGCTGTACATTGAACCATTTACATTGGCCCTTTACTGTTAGCCTCTAACTTTATTCAAAATTTAGTGTTTTTGTTTTGGATAGAGCAGGGAAGGGTTAGATCCTCTGTCCTGTTTTTCTTACTGGATTACATATAGAAGAGGCAGTAGATTATTCAGTATTGCAAATTACCACTTTCATCATGGCATGTATGCCGTCAAAATTACTAGTCTTAGTAGGATAGAATTTATGCATATGTAGTCATAATGCAATGGCAGCAGATTGTAAAGCTGAGTTGCAAAGAGAAATGCCCAGTACCCCCAGGCATGAAGGAGCATGTGACTTGCTCTGCTTCTTCCCATGACCGCATTGTTGATTGGTCCAGTGTTACCACATGGCAGCAGGGAGTAAATCCTCAGACCTGTGTAAGCTCCATTTTGTAATCTGCAACTGTGTCATCTGGTACATAGTGATCAAATGCAGGCAAAAATATGCCACTTGGCCCGCAGATACCACTGCATCATGAAGATGGCAGTGTGCTGATGTTTCATTAAATTTACTGTATACTGACACTGCTAAATTTTGTGTTAGCAATACAATGCATTTTGTTGTGGTGTGTGTGTGTGGGGGGGGGGGGGGTGTTTGCATTTTTAGGCCTTCATTTGGTGGTAAATAGCAATGGCTATTGTGTGTGTCGTGTGTTTTTTTTTTTTTTGTTTTTTTTTTTTTTTTTTTTTTTTTTTTTAATCCATGGAAAACTGGCTGAAAATGTATATATATTTCTTGCCATTACCATGACCTACCACCAAAGACCAACCTCTCAAAACAAATTCTTTTACTCCTGACTCCTGCAGCAATATCACGTGTGTGTGTGCTTTTGTTGTTTGTACCTGATGTATGGCCCAGGAACAATATTGTGTATTTTTTGTTTTGTTTTTTATTCTATCTGAGACTAGCTGACATTGATACAAAAAAAATTTTTTTTTAATCTAATCTAAAGAGCATCGGGGAGGGCTGTACACAAACTGATCACTGAGATCTGCCAATCATGGAAATTGTGACACTTGGCAGGAAGAGGCTGATGTTCTTTATTAACTTACTATATATTTTTTTTTTTTTTTTAGGTGTAAACCTCACCCTACGTTGGAGTTTCAACTCTGGGTACTCGTGGGAACAGAACGCCTTTCAGATTTGGCCGGGACCTAGTGGATACTCCGCTCTCACCACCCTCTCCCATAGCATTGAAGACAATGCGAACCTCTTTATTGTATATGAGAAAGGAAGACAAGAAATTACAGAATCCATCTCTTTTGTTAAAGTTAATCTCTACAGCAGTCTGTGATTGGCTGCATCACTACTGGATCAATACAAGATTGTACAAAATTCTGCGATTGATTTATTTGGTGCCAAAATTGTGCTGTCTTGAATACAAAAAAAAAAACCCTACTCTACTCTTTCCTGTCTTCATAAAGAGATACATTTGAGCTGTTCCAGCTACTTAAGTGGCCCCTTCTCTTCCTCGTAGCTGCTGGTTTATGGATGATAACATCCTGTGGCTAATCATCCTTGCCATTATATTCCCACCTGACAAACAATCTGAGGTACCCTTAATGTAACTGGAAGATATAAGACTCAAGAAACTTGAATAGTTGGGAATTATGGCAGGAAATATAAGCCAGCGAATGATTTAGGGCCCCAGACTCCCCCTCATGACTAAAAGCCATACATTACGCAATTTTCTTACCTTCAACCACGTTTAATGCAGTGTTAATGGCGGAATCCCTCCAGCAGTGCTATTGCGTTCTGCCAGCGGGTAGCCTTCCCCACCGCCAGAATACATTTTTCCCTGCTGACGGCTATAGCTGCTCGCAGTGATTGCACAAAAAAAAAACCCAAAAAATTGATTGTAGTGATGTAGATTGATTGAGCGACTTCAGTACAGCTAGTTGCCCATAGATCGAAATTTGGCCTGTTCCTTGAACGATTTAGAACCTCTAACATTTTTTAAATGCTCCTGTGTCCTTGTTGAGGTGATTTTCCCTCATTTCCTATTCTGTATGACACCCATTCCCTGGACAGGAGGTGAAGGAAACGCTCTTCTTATTGGGACCCCAGACGGCAATAAAACGGAGTTTCTAAACCTTCCCCACTGTATTAGAAAAATTTGTTTCTGTTGGTTTTCTAGGTAGATTTCTCCTCACTTCCTATTCTAAAAGTAAGGCAGAGAAGATATGTGTGTGTGTTCCACCTAAAATCAATTATTCCTTTTGGCTCAGCACCCAAATGTAAAATTACCCAAGTTAATGGTGGTATGTATAATAATATGTACCAGAAACCTATGGATCCACAAATAATTTCATGCAAATGAGTTTAAATTTTCCAACCAAGCCACTTTATGTACTATTTATTGTGTGTTTATATATGATTCTATTTTTCATTTGTGTAAAATATACCAGTTTTTAAAAAAAAACCAAAACAAAAAACATTGAGAGAATTTGGATTGGTCATCGGCATGAAGATGGGTACACACAAGATGCAGGGGGTGTGGACCCGATGGTTCAGAATTTGAACATTTATGATTCACCATACTGGATTTCCTTGACTTTCAAACATCTTAAGAGAAAAATGATTGGACATACTTGAAAATATTGGATTTACTTGGTCATTTGGAGACCTAAAAAAGTGGAAATGAACTTTGGGGCAAGATCACAAATATCAAAGGAGAGACAACTAGACAAAACGCACACGCTTTTATTGTCATCTGTTTGACTGATCAATTCTACTTGTGATTGTAATATAGTGGTCTAAATCTTTTTGTTTAATAATTATAATTCTATTTTTGAGAATCAATAGTTAACATATGCCTACTGCAATTTAATCCCAGTTGCATGTCCAATGCATGGATGGCAGATAGGTACTCAATACCATTGGTTTTGAACTGTTCCACCTACTTAAGTAGTCCCCTTCGCTTCTTTCTGCAGTTTTACGAATGGCCACTTCCTGTGACTAACCATTCATGCCGTGATATTCCCAAGTTATCAAAACAATCTGAGGTTACCTTATTGAAACTGGATGATAGAAGTCTCAAGAAAAGTGAATAGTTGGGAATTATGGCAGGAGATCTAAGCCAGCGGGTGTTTTTAGTGCCCCAGACTATACCCATGACTAAGGCAAGCCATACATTATGCTTTTTTATTTTTTTCCTTCAACCATGCTTAATGTGTTACTAAACCTACAACAGTAAAATCAGTCTGTATTCAAACCAGGCACTAAGCTCTCCAGCCAGTCACAGCGAACTTTGCAAAGGCAGCCAATCGGATTGGCTGCCTTTGCAAAGTTCGCTGTGAGTGGCTGGAGAGCTTAGTTACTGGTTTGAATGCAGCAGTTAGTAACAGGCGGGGAGTGAGGAGAGCGGAGGTAGCCGTGTGGTGTTCAGTTTGGCTTGCTGGTGTGAGTGAGCCCGTACAGGCATGCCCACTTGTGCTGGGTCATTTCAGCTATTGTGCAGCTGACAACCGGTAGACAGGATCTTGCATATAGCACTTTATGTAGACTAAATTTAACATTTTTCTGTTTTTTTTTTTGTTTTTGTGTGTGTGATTTTATTCTGGACAAATTAAGGTTTAAGGCTTTCATCCACGTGGGTTCATCGACCCAAAACTCTATGTGCAGAGTTGCATTTACAAGAAAACCCCCCAATTTTTAGGACTTTAAAGGCATCCATCCATAAATAAAAAGATTTACATCGTTCTTTATTTAGTAACAAACAAAAAATAATTAAGGCAGCTGTTTGTAAGGATCAATACGTTATTGTATCACCATCATATAATCAACATTACAGAGTTTTTTCTTTTACAACAATCCAACACGTTTCAGAGTGAATCTACTCCTTCAGGGATAAAGCTCTGCAAGAGGGTGATACGATCAACAAAATTGAGATACAGTCATTTAGAAAATATATATATACAAGAACATATATATACACACACAACAATCTTGACAGCATCTACAGTCAGGTCCATAAATATTGGGACATCCACACAATTCTAACATTTTTGGTTCTATACACCACCACAATGGATTTGAAATGAAACAAACAAGATGTGCTTTAACTGCCGACTGTCGGCTTTAATTTGAGGGTATTTACATTCAAATCAGGTGAACGGTGTAGGAATTACAACAGTTTGCATATGTGCCTCCCACTTCTTAAGGGACCAAAAGTAATGGGACAGAATAATAATCATAAATCCAACTTTCACTTTTTAATACTTGGTTGCAAATCCTTTGCAGTCAATTACAGCCTGAAGTCTGGAACGCATAGACATCACAGACGCTGGGTTTCATCCCTGGTGATGCTCTGCCAGGCCTCTACTGCAACTGTCTTCAGTTCCTGCTTGTTCTTGGGGCATTTTCCCTTCATTTTGTCTTCAGCAAGTGAAATGCATGCTCAATCGGATTCAGGTCAGGTGATTGACTTGGCCATTGCATAACATTCCGCTTCTTTCCCTTAAACTCTTAGGTTGCTTTTGCAGTATGCTTTGGGTCATTGTCCATCTGCACTGTGAAGCGTCCAATGAGTTCTGAAGCATTTGGCTGAATATGAGCAGATAATATTGCCCGAAACACTTCAGAATTCATCCTGCTGCTTTTGTCAGCAGTCACATCATCATTAAATACAAGAGAGCCAGTTCCATTGGCAGCCATACATGCCCACGCCATGACACTACCACCACCATGCTTCATTGATGAGGTGGTATGCTTAGGATCATGAGCAGTTCCTTTCCTTCTCCATACTCTTCTTTTCCCATCACTCTGGTACAAGTTGATCTCGGTCTCATCTGTCCATAGGATGTTGTTCCAGAACTGTGAAGGCTTTTTTAGATGCTGTTTGGCAAACTCTAATCTGGCCTTCCTGTTTTTGAGGCTCACCAATGGTTTACATCTTGTGGTGAACCCTCTGTATTCACTCTGGTGAAGTCTTCTCTTGATTGTTGACGTTGACACACATACACCTACCTCCTGGAGAGTGTTCTTGATCTGGCCAACTGTTGTGAAGGGTGTTTTCTTCACCAGGGAAAGAATTCTTCGGTCATCCACCACAGTTGTTTTCCGTGGTCTTCCGGGTCTTTTGGTGTTGCTGAGCTCACCGGTGCGTTCCTTCTTTGTAAGAATGTTCCAAACAGTTGTTTTGGCCACGCCTAATGTTTTTGCTGTCTCTCTGATGGGTTTTTTTTGTTTTTTCAGCCTAATGATGGCTTGCTTCACTGATAGTGACAGCTCTTTGGATCTCATCTTGAGAGTTGACAGCAACAGATTCCAAATGCAAATAGCACACTTGAAATGAACTCTGGACCTTTTATCTGCTCATTGTAATTGGGATAATGAGGGAATAACACACACCTGGCCATAGAACAGCTGAGAAGCCAATTGTCCCATTACTTTTGGTCCCTTAAGAAGTGGGAGGCACATATGCAAACTGTTGTAATTCCTACACCGTTCACCTGATTTGGATGTAAATACCCTCAAATTAAAGCTGACAGTCTGCAGTTAAAGCACATCCTGTTAGTTTCATTTCAAATCCATTGTGGTGGTGTATAGAGCCAAAAATGTTAGAATTGTGTCGATGTCCCAATATTTATGGACCTGACTGTATATACGATATTATTGTATAAACATTGGTATTCAATACTCACACCAATCACACATAATCCTCATTGTTTAAAAAGGCTGTTTGATCCTGTCTTCTCTGATCCTCCCCTTCTACTATTTCCAATGCATCTGCTAATATTACTAAGTACTAGGAGACACTCGCATACTCATTTTAGTGTGTATTGCTAGAGAGGTTTTTTTTTTCTTTGGGAAGGTGCTTGGGATTAGCACAGGACCAATCAACATGGTCCAGACAGAGGGTCAGGGGTTATGCAGCCTCATAGGACAGTCAGAGCAGAATAAAAACTTCTCCTACAAGCTTTAACCTGTGCTCAGCTGGACACTGATAGAGGTCACGAGACTGCTATATACTGCTGAGAAAAGGTCTTTAGCTGTTCTGTGTACTGTGGGAAACCAGATATAGTGAATGCAAGGTCCTGGGTTTAGTAACACTTTAAGACCACTTGTAGTACCACACCAGACAAAAAAGTAAAAACAAAAAAAAGTACGGTATACATAAAAGAAAACAAAAGAGCAGACTCGGTGGACCACTTGGTCTTTTTTTCTGCTGTCACCCATTTGTGTTTCTACTAGAAGGAAAATGCCATGTCAAGATAACTAAGGAAACTTTTATATAGATAATTCATGATTGATATTGAAAGTATGTTTTTTATGGGATTGACTGGTTTTACT